ATACTAGGTTTGCTAAATGCTTTAAAGTGATAAACTGCTTTGAATTTTAAGGCCTGGGGACATGTGGAATTAGCCATATCCCCTAGCTATGCAAATAAGGTTATAGAGAAAAGAGATTTAACAAAAGAAAGGATCCTGTATGGTAAATTATTGTCGTAAATTAAATGACTTGTTACTTAAAAAGAGGAATGTTTAAGACATGTCAGAAAACCTGACCGTGTCGTATACGGTCTATGTAAGTTGTGAAAGGACTCATGAAAGGAAATTTAGGCACCAAAGGTGAAAGTTGCTAAGAATTACCATTACAACATATAATTGAAACTACTGAAAAAAATAGATTTACATGCAAGGTATGTGATGAGAGTGAAATGTGTTTTTGATAAAAGATTATAAGCATGCGAATGTAAATGTTTGCCTAGTTTAAAGGGTTAAAGGATTGTTTAAAATTGGATAAGATAAAGCTAAACGTTTAAGCAAGTTGTGGCAGGGCTATAAAAAATTAATCTTGTAAAAGAAATTCTGTATGTGAATATATTGGCTAAATCTAAGGGCGTATTATTTAGTTTTTCCATAAATTGAACATTGAAATAAAAGCATAACAGGGTTTTCTTAAAGTGCTAATCTATTCTTTAACAAAGATTCTAAAGGGCCATAAAAGGCTTATGAGAATCTCACCTTATGGTGAAACTGATTAAGATTCAATAGATTTGTCTATAATGTTTAGTAAACATTGGGGTTGACATTAACAGTAGACTAATGCAAGAGTGAAATTTGGCTTTCTCTCTTGAACAAGATTTTCTTGTAATATTAAAAGATAATGAAAGATTTTTATTTGCCTTTTGGATGAACTACCAAAAAAGAAAGGAAAGACAAAAGACAGATTGTTTAGAAAGCTAAATATTCCCCATATCAATGAGCAAAGATTTTTGCCTTTAAAAACTTTTTTGAGTCATCATTTTGGCTAAATGAATGATTTATGGTAATCTGTAATTCTATTTCATAATATCAAGTGTTTTAAACCTTTAACATATTTGATAGGCTTCTCAAAAGCAAACATCAGCTTCAAAATGGTCTTTTCTGATCTCTAACTTTGGGATGTGACAGAGGGTCCTTGAAACATCCAAAAGAGAGGTCAAAGGTCAACAGGATTATCTGACACGTTAAGTTACAAAGGAAGCATTGTTAAACTAAAAATATTGTTTAATCTTCAGGTTATATTTCAGTGAATCATGTTAATATATGTTCTAAAATTTATGAGATTTCTAAAATTCTAATATGTATGAGTATATGCTGTCAAGCATAATTATGGTTATTATGTTACTGTAGACCACAGAAATAACCAAATTTCCTAGTTTAAGTGTTAAAATTTCCTATTTATAGTGTTTTTTAACTATAACTATTTATTTTATTTTTTTTTTTTTTTGAGGTGGAGTCTGGCTCTGTTGACCTGGCTGGAGTGCAGTGGGGTGATCTCAGCTCACTGCAATTTCTACCTCCCAGGTTTAAGTGATTCTGTTTCAACCCCTCAAGTAGCTGGGATTACAGGTGCCCACCACCATGCCTGTAAAGACAGGGTTTTGCTATATTGGCCAGGCTGTTCTGGAACTGCTGACCTCCGGTGATCCACCTGACTTGGCCTCCTAAAGTGCTGGGATTATGTTTTTAACTATAACTATTTAAAGCCATTTCCACAGTTAATTGCTTAAAGCTGGTGCAGTTTCTGAAAACTTCAAAAGCATGGTGTCTTTTAGAAGGTTCATGAAAGTATGGAGAGGATCCTGAAAATCACTCTTAAATACAAGTTTCTAATAACTTTATAATCATATCATTTGAACTGCATAAGAATTCCTGGAACTTTAATGAAAAGACTGACTGGGTTATAAAACTGCTAACTCAAGTAGAACAAAAATTAATTGAATGCCAAGAAATAGTTTGCCACATTTTCATGCTAAATCAGCCAATACTGAAATTGTTGAGATACACAATATGAATGAAATCTATGGTCTAAGTCAAGTTACCTCTGATAACCCATGAGTTATCAGTGCTAAGCACCTAATTTGGAGAAATTAGGTGATATTCAAGAGGACATAAGTCTGATGTTAAGCATGGACTCACAGAGAACCAGGATAGCCTCCTTGTCCTTCCTGAGTCTTTAAAGCTTTTATTAGTAAAAGTTCTGCATTCCACACCTCATCATGGAAGAGGTAAAATAATCCAAATTAAATATATTGATGTGGTGACTTATAAATTGCAAAAATAGTTTATAACCAAAGTTTGGTTTCATATTCCTGGAAATACAATCAAAGCTTCAGATACATTTAGCTACCTGATGGACCATTTAAACATTTATCAAGAAATTTCATTCCACTGTCATTCTCAATGCATGTTTTCTGGTTATATAAAAACTTTCCCATGCAAGAGGGCTGATGTTATAACACTAAGTTATTGTGCCACAGTGTATTTTTATCTGGTAAAGAAAGCTTCTTTATGGTTCACTGAGGGCAATCAACGCCTTTACAATCTGAAACTCAAAGATGGGATCTTCTGAGAACATCAGAGAAACTTCCCTGGAAACCACGGAAGTTTCTCCCACAAAGTAGGTGGCATCCCTGATGTGAACAGCTTTTCCCAAGATTACGGATCAAGAATTTTACTATCATGAGACTCCTACTTTGGAATATTTCTCTTTTCTTATGCCTCTGTGAACAACAGAAATGGAAAGGGGGTCTGCTATGTGCACTTATGGGGTATACTTTTATCTGTGAAGGACTTTTCAGCCAGCCTTATACGTGGATAATCGTATACTTTGGTAGGTAAAAGGTGAAGGCCTGTTGTGGGTGAGAAGCTTTAATGGTACGTATGTTGCCTTATAATCAGATACAGAACACTGATTAACTCTTATCTCACATCGTGAGTTAGGAGAACACTGCCAGGAGGCCTTCACTCTTCTGGAGGGGGTCATTTGTTAGGTCTTTTTTCCATGGTTTGGAATAAAAGAGGCAATGATTAGAAATAAATCCCTCATGATAGGGTCTAAAGCAGATTCTGCTATGAAAGCTATGGTCACACAACAAACTTTAAATTCTCTTATAGAAGCTAGGCTAAAAGCGGCTAAACACAGACGTATCTGTGCAGCTGCTGGCACGCAGGGCCCGTGAATAAAACATCGGGTATTACAGAGATTCGGCTGAAGCGTATCGATGCAGAAAGCCACTCAGTCAGTGAGCAGGCTCCTCATCCAGCTCATTCTTCGATCTATTTGCGTTTAGGTGGTTGGTTTTCAGGGACCTTGTGTAAGGAGCATACTCCAAACTCTTGGTATTATCCTCCCAGGGGTCATAATTATAGTCTCCCTGGTGCACTGTGTTTTCTCAAAGGTTTTAAACGCTTGCATGCAGCCATCTTTAGAAGGCCAAATGGTCTCTTTTCAACTGGAATGACCAGAGCTGAAAGAAACGTGTGCCATGAGGGCACCGTAAGCTATGAGGGCAGCACTGAGACCAGAAACCCAAAATCAAGGTACTGAGAGTGGCGCTAACACCCTAAGTTTCGGTCACACTCTTGCCTAAGTGAGAACCTGACCAAAAAAGGGGAATCTGCTCCCAAGCCCACGCTGTTCACAAGACAGATTCTTCTACAAGGCAAACAAGAGCCCCGTGGCCATCCGTGTCTGAACAGCCCCTCCCTGGGGCCTCGGCATCTGATCGCCTGGCTGGCAAATGCGTCCTGGCTTCCTCAGCCCCACCTTCTTTCAGACGTTGGCTGTCTGAGGGCATCACAGACAGGAGACCACAGACAAGAAGGCAATGTCCAGGGCCCCAAGGCCTCCCGGGAAGGCTGCCTGGGAAGGAGGCTGAGCACCATTCCTACTCCCTGCTCCAAGTCAGCTGAGTGCGGAGGTGATCTGAATGTTCAGTTGGCTTTTGCTGGGAAACCTGGACAACCCTGACACTGGGGCAGTCATGCCAAGAGTTCACAGCCCACGGTGAGCAGAGCGGGAAGGGGCCGCAGACCCATGCGGGCAGAGCACACAGCAGAGCTGGAGGCTGCCTGGCTCCCTTTCTGTCTGCAGAAGCACCATGTCCCGCCTGGGTCTCTGCCTCCATTCCTTTTTATCTGGCCATAGAATGCAGTAAGACTTTCCAAATGGAACAACAGCTTTTGGCTCTTTGGAGAAGCTAATTTTTTGTCCCTAGTCACTGGTCCCCAAGTCTGGCCTTTGGCAATGCTCATGTCATCTGCAGGGGATGGTCCCTCCAGGGCTGGGGTGCAGGCTGGAAAGCAGCCAGGCCCTGAGGGGGAACCCGTGGACACTGCCTGCCAGGAAGGCAGAGGACAGCTGAGGCTGCAGGTGGGACTGGGGGCGGCGTGAGGCACTGAGGCCTCTGATGCTCAGACTGGCGTGTGCTGACCGCCTCAACAGCCCCTGGAGCTTGGGTTCTGCAGAGGGATGAGTGTGTGCTTCTGAGCCCTGAGGGCTGTGTCCAGGAGACCTGCAGGAGAGCCCAGTAAGCTCTCCAGTCCCCGGGAGAGGACAGGGCCCTACACACTCAGCCCACGGCCCCTGATTACCATCTTAATGCAGATGCAATTGTAAAATAAATAAAACATTTTCTCCATCACGAAAACAAGGAAGCAGTTCATGAGTATTGTTGACAGCATATTCCTCCCTTCAAGAAAAGGAGAAATTCAATGAAATACAAATTGCACCCTCTCCTCCACCTGAGAAGGAAATGAAATTGAGAAGAAAGTAACTATCCGTCTGATTAATAAAGAAGTGCCTTGACCTTTAGAGGAGCAGACGTCCTGGTAGGAAATGCCGCTGTGACCAGGTGTGGCTCGGAGGCTTCATTTCTGGTCCAGCTTGGCGGCTTGGTCCAAACCAGCGACTGTGGTTCCTCAGTCTGTCCCATCTTAAATGCCTCCTGCTGCACCAAGACCTGCTCCCCCTTCTCCTCCTCTTCCTTCGCCCAGAAATGCTTATCACGATGCCCACTAACCTTGAGAGAGTGACTCCAGCAGGTATTCCAGATGGAAGACTGATGAAAGCCACGCTACCGCCAAGCTTCCCGTTCTCACATCTTAACCGGTCCTAGGTGGGAGCTGCCTGTCGTCCCAGGGTCAGAATTTCAAAGAAGATCACCGATGAAAAGTGGCCTTGTTTCCACCCTCCTTGAATCAGGTTCCGCCATAAACAGAACAGGGACACACACTGTGCCTTCCAGAAGCAGCACCTTCGAATCAGGGGCAACTCGAACCTAGAGAAAGTTGTTGAGATGAGCTGAGATTTATCTTTTCTTAGTAACTTTTACCTTTTAATTCTAATTCTGCCCATTGAAGTCACACTGAAGAAACGGACGTCTTTCTGTACACGTGGGCCCCTCAATACCTGAAGGGTGAGCTGAGCACACATTGCTCTCCCGCCTGCCCCTCCTTAGGTCCAGCCTTCTCAGCCCCTAGAAGTCTTCCTGTGTGGCCAGGGAAGCGTGCTTGGAACCGGAATTCACGGTGGGGGTCAGGTGCAGGGAGGGGGTGTCCCTCCTGGGTGCAGACCCGAGTCTGGTGGGGTGCTCAGCAGTGCGCGCCCCCACCCTGCCTAAGGGGCTGATGAGTTCCCTTGGTCCCCGCACACTGCCGGGTTCCACCCCGGTTCCCCAGTCCCCTGCCCTGTATGGAAGGAGCACTTCTACCAGTGGAAGTGGTTGTCCTGTGAATGGTGCAGAAACAAACAAACACAAAAAACGGCTGAGAAGAAGAAACGCCCGGTCCTCGCCCAGGCTCGCGTTTTCAGCAAAGAAACTGTCTCTGGGGGGTCGGCGGCATCTCCTGACAAGCACAGCTCCCTCCTCACTAGTGAAGGCTGCGGAGGATACAAGCTTCCAAACTGCGGGAAAAGCTCATCTCCGGTACCTTTCAGCGGCATTCGCGTTAGGAACGAGGGCCATCACTCCGCACGCCAGCCACCTCCCCCTTGCTTCCAGCTGGCCCTCTGCCCAGCCCCCAGGACCCACACAGTCTGCCCTTTCTTAGCACATGACCACCCCTGCCCCTACCCTCGGCCTGGCCTGGCTGAATGGCTCACGGAAATGATCTCGTTAGAAAGCGGAATTGTTGTCACTTCACCACAGTGAGCCGACGAGGTCCTGGCGCGTGCTTCTCCCAGGGCGAAGCAGAGATCAGGTGTCGGAAGAGCACTCTGTAGTCTCCTCATCCCTGGACCACAGGCTCCCGTGGCCTGCTTAATTTTTAAAGTAGAGGTGGTCGTTGTTGAAGTGGCCCTCAGGCCCAATATGTACGGAGTCAGAGGCAGAGACAGTGCAGGAACAGGAGTTCTGGTTCCCGACCCCGCGTCTCCCCCTCTCCCCAAGCCCTCGTGTTTGCGCTGTCTTGACGACACCCCCGAGGTATTTAAATGGGAATCATGTTGCTCCGTCTATGGACAGCACGGCAGACACCGTGGTCAAGGACATCAACGCCAAAGGTCTGGCTAGGCCGTTAGTCGAGGACGGGCGGGGGCTGCTTTCCTTGGGGCAGCTGGACACAGGCTTTCCCCCTGCGAGGGGCACAGGAGCCTGGGGGGCTCGGAGGAGCCAGGCTGGCAGCGCGGAGCGCGTCCTCCACGTCCTCTCCGGTTCCGGCCGGGAGCTGTTTGCCGCCCCGTGAGCGCTTCCTGACAGCTGCCTCACTGGCCGCCTTCCAACGGAGTTCCTGCCCTCTCTCCTGCACCGAGACCAGCTGATGGCGGTTTCCGAAAACTTCCTTGTTCTCTGCCAAGTCCAAGGATTCCCGCTCCCTCCCGCCCACCCACAGCCTCCCTTTGCTTCTTCCAGCTCCGCACACCCCGACCTGCTTCTGCGCCAGGGGCCCCTCTGGGGGAGGCGGGTTTCCTGGGAGCCGGACCCGCAGCCCCAGGTGGGGTGTGCCCTGCCAGGCCGCGCTGGAGGCCGCGGGCGCGCGCGCGTGGGCGGGCGCGGGGGCTCCGTGTGTCCCGCAGCCTCACCCGGAGCAGCCCTTCTGCTTCGCGCCCCGCGCTGGTGTCCTACCTACGGCTGTCTGAAGACAACGTCGCGGGACAAACGGTACAAGCCGTCGTTCTCAGCGGCCGCGGCTGACCGCGCGAAAGCCCCGGTGGGCGCGGAGGAGCGCGGTGCGCGTGACGGCGGATTTAAAACGCGCCGGCGAACTGGGTGACGCTCTTTCCGCTTCTGCTCCGAGCGCGGAGCTTGGGCGTGTCGGCGAGAAGCTCAGCCTTTCGCTCACACCGCGTGGCCATTTTCTAACGGGAGAGGGGACGGCGGGACAGGAGGGGCCGCGCGTGGCGAGCGCTGCAGGACCGTGTGCGCTTGGCGCGGCTTCCGCGGGCTCCGCGCGAGTGCAGGTTTCACGACCAGGTCCCGGGTCCCTCCACCCGCGTTCGTCTTCGCGGAGGCCAACCGTGCTCAGGAAACTGAGGCAGCCGGAGGCCGCCAGCCAGGGCGGCACAGAGGGCGGCCTGAGCGTTCTCACAAGCTGGGCGCTAATGACGGGGCAGCAGAACAATTGCGGGAAGATGGGGTCACCGTGCGTCCTGCTTTGAAAATGAGACGGAGTGGATACAACGTTTGTAAAGATGACCTGCTATGAAAAGACCTTTGGTAAAACTCGACATCCCTTCATGTTAAAAACTCTCAATAAACTAGGTATTGATGGGACATACCTCAGAAGAATAAGAACCGTTTATGACAAACCCACATCCGATGCTATGCTGAATGGGCAAAGGCTGGAAGCATTCCCTTTGAAAACAGGCACAAACGAGGATGCCCTCTCTCACCACTCCTATTAGACATAGTACTAGAAGTTCTGGCCAGAGCAATCAGGCAAGGGAAAGACATAAAGAGTATTCAAAAACGAAGAGAGCAAGTCAAACTGTCTTTGCAGATGACATGATCATGTATCTAGAAAACCCCATCGTCTCAGCCCAAAAGCTTTTTAAGCTGATAAGCAACTTCATCAAAGTCTCAGGGTACAAAATCAATGTGCAAAAACCACAATCATTCCTATACACCAATAACAGACAAGCAGAGAGCCAAATCATGGATGAATTTTTATTCACAAATCATGGATGAATTGCTACAAAGACAATAAAATACCTAGGAATACAGCTAGCAAGGGAAATGAAGGACCTTTTCAAGAAGAACTACAAACCATTGCTCAAGGAAATCAGAGAAAAAACAAACAAATGGAAAAATATTCCATGCTCATGAATACGAAGAATCAATATGATGAAAATGGCCATACTGCCCAAATTAGTTTATAGATTCAGTGCCATTCCCATTAAACTACCATTGATTTTCTTCACAGAATTAGAAAAAAACGACTATAAAATTCATACGGGACGAAGAAAGAGCCTGTGTAGCCATGACAGTCCTAAAGAAAAGAAAAAAGCTGGAGGCTTCACCTTGACTTCAAACAAGGCCACAGTAGCCAAAACAGCATGGCACTGGTACAAAAACAGACACATAGACCAATGGAACAGAATAAAGAACTCAGAAATAAGACCACACATCTACAATCATCTGATCTTTGACAAACTTGACTAAAACAAGCAATAGGGAAAGGATTTTCTATCTAATACATGGTGCTGGGAAAACTGGTTAGCCATATGCAGAAAATTGAAATTGGACCCCTTCCTTACATCTCATACCAAAATTCATTCAAGATGGATTAAAGACTGGAGTGTAAAACCCCGAACTACAAAAAAACCTAGAAAAAAATATAGGCAGTACCATTGAGGACATATGCACGGGCAAAGATTTCATGATGACATCACCAAAAGCAATTTCCACAAAAGCAAAAATTGACAAATGGAATCTAATTAAACAAAAGAGCTTCTGCACAGCAAAAGAAACTATCATCAGAGTGAACCGGCAACCTACAGAATGGGAGAAAATTTTTGCGATCTATCCATCTGACAAAGGTCTAATATCCAGAATGTATAAGGAACTTAAACAAATTTATAAGAAAAAAAACCCCAAACAACCCCATTAAAAAGTGGGTAAAGGACATGAACAGACACTTCTTAAAAGAAGATATACATGTGGCCAACAAACATATGAGAAAAAGCTCAACATCACTGATCATTAGAGAAATGCAAATCAAAACCACAATGAGATACCACCTCATACCAGCCAGAATGGAGATTATTAAGAAGTCAAGAAACAGATGCTGATGAGGCTGTAGAGAAATAGAAATGCTTTTGCACTGTTGTTGGGAATGTCAATTAGTTCAACCATTGTGGAAGACAGTGTGGTGATTCCTCAAAGATCTAGAATCAGAAATACCCTTAGACCCAGCAATCTCATTACTGGGTATATACCCAAAGGAATATAAATCATTCTATTGTAAAGACACATGGATGCCCATGTTCATTGTAGGACTATTCACAATAGTGAAGACATGAAATGAACCCAGATGCCCATTGATGATAGACTGGACAAAGAAAATGTGGTACATATACAGCATGGAATACTACATAGCTATAGAAAGGAATGAGATCATGTCCTTTGCAGGAACATGACTGGAGCTGGAGGCCGTTATCCTCAGCAAACTAACACAGGAACAAAAAACCAAACACCACATGTTCTCACTTATAAGTGAGAAGTGAAGAATGGGAACACATGGACACAGGGAGGGGAACAACACACACTGGGGCCTGTTGTGGGAGCCAGGGGAAGGGAGAGCATCAGGAAAAATAGCTAATGAATTTGGGGCTTAATACCTAGGTGACGGGTTGATCTGTGCAACAAATCCTCATGGTACACGTTTACCTATGTAACAAACCTGCACATCCTGCACATTTATCCTGGAACTTAAGATAAAATTAAATTAAAGGAAAAAAAAGATGACCTGCCACAGAATGCCTTTCACAAGAATGAGACAAAGGACGAATTTACCCCCTGTGCTCAGTGTGACTCAAGCTCATAGGAGAGTAATAGTCTAATGTTCATCTCCACATTTTACAGATACTAACACCACACAGAGGGTCTCTGGAAGTGCTGGAATGTCCCCAGATGTCTGAGCACTCTGTCCTGTCCTGACCTCCAGCTGAGTGTGGGGCAGGGGCTGCTGGGCATGCTGAATGCAGGGCCTCCTTCCTCTTCAGGCCCCATTGGATTGGAACAAAGCCCAAGGAGAAACCTGTAGCTCCAAAAAGGACAGGAATAGAGGTGCTAGCAGATTCCAATGGCCAGTGATTTCTGAAGGTGGAGGGGATACAGGATGTGGGAGGTGGGGCAGGGTGAAGGGGCACAGCCAGAGATGCTCAGAGATCAATGGTGGAGGCCAGTGTCATCTTGCTGAGGGTCCTCAGAGCAGGGCTGAGCCGGGAGGTGGAAGGGAGATAGATGTGGGGCTGAAAATGGGTGGAGGGCTGGCTATTCCAGCTGTCGATGAACAAGTGCCTGGCAGCAGCCACCTCTGCAACCCGTGCCTGGCCGGTTTCTCTGTGGAGAAGCCAGCAGGTTCCCAGGCAGTGTCAGAGGATTCTCATTCAAGGCCCTGGAGTCAGCAGCCTGGGTGTGGCCACAGCTTTTAGCACGGGTCTGGGGCCCCAGGGTAAAATCTTATTCTAGCATTGATTGCAGTGTTTCGGGGCGGGGGGGATGCTAGCCTGCTGCCTGCTTCTCATCCATCTGTCCTAAATCAAGCACAGCCACACCTGCTCTATGGATCTCCTCCCAGCTCACCTTTCCACCTGGAGGACCCCACAGAAAGCCCACAGCATCCCATCCAAATGAGCCACTGGTGCTTAGATATGAGTGAGCACCCACGCATCTCCAGACTTTCTGAAGAAACCAGTGACAGTGGGGAGGACCCATAAAGGTGACAGCTGACCTCAGAGGAAACAGCTAAAGAAAATTAAGTTAAAGATCTAATTATTGTCCTCAGAATATTTAAGAAAATATGCATATTGGTAACACAAGAACAGAATAGTATTTAAGAACAGGCAGAGAGCAGAAAAGGCATTTAAAATATGATTGCTGAACTGAAAATCCCACAAAAGAGATGGACGTTAGGGTCCAGGGAGGTTTCCAGAATATGCCTGAGAAAGACACATGGAGAATTCTCAAGGAGAGATTCCAGTCCTGGATGATGAGCTGAGGAACTGCCAGATGATGGAATGATGGAATGATGGAGATGATGGAGACGATAGAGATGATGGAGTGATGGAGATGATGGAGTGATGGAATGAAGATGATGGAGTGATGGAGTGATGGAGATGATGGAGATGAAGGAATGATGGAGATGATGGGCTGAGGAGAGATTAGGGTCCTGGACCATGAGGCAATGCCAAATGAAGAGGTGTCAGAGACGAGAAGGGAGGCAGGTGGGACACTTCCTCCATGGAGGAAGTTTTCCTGGAGCAGAAGGACAGGCAGGGGCAGGTGAGGAGACCCAGGACAGGAGTGAAAGGACACGGCCCTTCCTCTTCTGGGGAGAAAAACAAAGAAAAAAAAAACAAGAAAAAAAAAAAAGGGACAAAAAAAACAAAAAATGGGGAAAAAAAAAAAAAAAAAAAAAAAAACCAGAAACACATTCCAGTTTCCATGACACCAGGAGGCCTGGGAAGGGCCAGGGTGAAGGTTGGGAAGCCCAGAGGAGGTGCACATCTCAGGGCACCCACCCCTCCCCACCCCATCTCTCCACCCCTACACCCGGCACCCACCCCACCACCCCACCACCACCATGCCCAGCACCCACCCTAGCACCCCTCCCCACCCACATCCAACATCCACCCCTCTCCATTCCTCCACCGTCACGACCAGCACCCACACCACCACCCTTACCCACCTCTCCACACCAATGCCTGGCACCCACCCCTGTGCCTGGCATCCACCCCTCCATTTCTCTTCACCCACATCTGGCATCCACCCTTCCCCACCCCTCCACCCCCACACCCAACACCCACTCCTCCCCACTCCTCAACCCCACACCCAGCACCCACACCACTCTACCCCTCCACCTTCATGCCCTGCACCCAGCCTCCCCAACCCTCTATCCCCACGCCAGGCAAGCACCCCTCCCCACCCACCCATCCCTATGCCTGGCACCCACTCCTTCCCACCCCTCCCCACCCCTCCACCCCCAAACCAAGCACCCACCCCTTCACCCATCCATACCCATATCCAGCATCGACCCATCCCCACCCTTACACCCTAATGAAAATGATGGAGTGATAGAGATGATGGAGATGATGGAGTGATGGAGTGATGGAGATAATGGAGACATTAGAGTGATGGAGACAATGGAGATGATGGAGTGATGGAGATGATGGAGATGATGGAGTGATGGAGACGATGGAGACGATGGAGTGATGGAGACAATGGAGACGATGGAGTGATGGAGACGATGGAGACAATGGAGATGATGGAGACAATGGAGATGATGGAGTGATGGAGATGATGGAGTGATGGAGATGATGGAGATGATGGATTCATGGAGATAATGGAGTGATGGAGATGATGATGGAATGATGGAGTGATGGAGATGATGATGGAATGATGGAGTGATGGAGATGATGGAGATAATGGAGTGATGGAGATGATGGAGTGATGGAGATGACGGAGTGATGAAGATGATGGAGTGATGGAGTTAATGGAGTGATGGAGATGATGAAGATGATGGAGATGATGGTGTAGTAGAGATGATGGAGATGATGGTGTAGTAGAGATGATGGAGATGATGGTGTAGTAGAGATGATGGAGTGATGGAGATGATTGATTTAGTTATGGAGATGATGGAGTGATGTAGATGATGGAGATGATGGAGGTGATGGAATGATGGAGTTGAAGATGATGGAGTGATGCAGATGATTAGATGATGGAGTGATAGAGATGATGTAGGTGATGGAGACGATGGAGTTATGGAGATGATGGAGTGATGGAGATGATAGAGTGATGTAGATGATGGAGTGATGTAGATTATGGAGATGATGGAGTGATGGAGATGATGGAGTGAATGATGGAGATGATGGAGTGACGGAGATGATG